GGGTGGAACTAGTAAAAGTCACTAGGGTTCAAATTACACAAACACAGATAAAGAGCAATACAAAGACATAGCCATGTCCTTTTGGCACTTCACACCCACACACACTCATTAGTTCCACACTTATTCTCTCTCTCTCTCTCTCTCACTCTCTAAAACTGCATAACTTCATATTCTCTCTCTCAATCAAAAAACACATCCATCTCCAACCTTAAAATCCCAAAAATCCCAAAAATCCAAAGCCAAACTCACAACACACTCTCCCTTAACTTCATATTTTCTCTCTCCCTCCCTCTATCTCTCTCTCTCTCTAGATCTCTCACTAAAAACATTAAGCATCTCTGCATTTCCAATCTTTACACAAAACCAAGTCTTTTTTCTCTCCCAAAATCCATTAACCGTTCCAAAGTTCCAGTGTTTGATCACCATTTTCAGAAATATGGCGACGCCAATGCTGCTCATGGCCTCTGAGCGCAACACAACAAAACAACCCGCCAAAACCCTTTTCGGGTCCTACGATGAATCCAAATCCGAGCCCACCAAACCCACCAAAACCACCAAGAAATCCTCCACCAAAGCCTCCTCAAACACTAAAAAGCAACCGCAAAGAGGCCTTGGAGTGGCTCAGCTGGAGCGCCTGAGGCTTCAAGACTGGAAGAAAATGACCGAAGTGCCCCAGCTCCAGCCCCAACCCCAAGTCCTCAATCTTCCTCCTCTTCCTCATCATCATCATCATCATCAGTATCAAAACCCCATCAACCTACCTGACCCGCTTAACAGCGTTCCGGTGCAGTACGGTGCATCCAGGTTCAATGGACCCTCGGTGATGAACGGCTGTGGTGGTTCTGCTGCTAGTACAACTTGTTTTTATGGTTTGGTGGGTCAGAGGGTTGGGAATGGTTCTGGGTTTGGTTATGCTGGGGGGAATAATCTGGTGACGAACCTGGACCCGAGTCCGTACGGAGTCGGGGCTCCGGATCCGAGGGTTCAAAGTGGGGCTGTGTACGAGACCTCGAGAGAGCTCTCTTCAATGCCAAAGATACAATCTTTGTCTTCTGATTGCTGTGATCACTGCCTCAAGGTCTTTACTTTTTTGTTTTGTTTTGTTTTATATTCTATTTTATTTTTAGAAATATCCAACTTCCAACTTGTTTTGTTTGCGAGAAAACGTGAAAAAATGAAATCTTTGAAGCCATTGTGTTCCCTTTGTTTATTACGACTATTAGTACTGTTACATTAGTAAGAGCTTGTTATTTTCCCACGTTTTGTTTTAGGTTTAAATTTCCTGATCCCTTTTCTGTCTCTTTCTTTAGGGGATCCAGAAGAAGAGGTTCATTAGTGGGGATTACATGGCTTTGAACGGCTGGAGTGACAAATCTGCGACTGTTTCACCAATCAACGGTTCTGATTTTCTCGGATTGAACCCTGAAACCGGCAGTTTTGGTGACCGAGTGGTGAGTCGAGCCGCCGGGTACCTGGGGCGCAGCAACCTTGTTGATGATCAGGTATGGAACAAGAAAAAATTTAATTTTACAGCTAGAGATAATTAAAAAACCCATATAAAGTCCAAGTCAAATATGTATATATTAATTTGGTTTTATTGTTTTTTGGGTATATATATATTTTTTTCAGATTGTAATGGAACGGATAAATATATAATATTGTTTTTGGTCAATAAACATCTAATCAACTTGATTGGTTGGATTATTGACTTTGTAAATTTGTAGGGTGTAGGGGTTAGGGCAGTGCACAGAAAGGGAGGGTCAGCTGGTGGTGGGATTTTCATGGAATATGAGTTTTTTCCAGCTGCTGATCATCAAAAAAGTGATGAAATTAAAAGAGGAGGCACATATCCCAAGCTGCAGACAGTAGGAAGGGAAGAAGAAGAAGAAGCTTCTGATATTAGTCCTGCTGCAACTTTAAAAGGCTATGGGATTGGGGCAGCTGACAGTTACCATGATCATCAACAGCATCATAATCCTGTTGATTTGTCACTCAAGCTTTCATTTTAGAAGCAAAAAAAGAAAGAAAAGGTGTATGTTTCGGTGGGTTTTGATGCTACTGGTGATCTGTCATGCATTTGGGAAAGAAACAAACCCAGCTGATGCAGCTTTTTTGGTTTCCCTTTTGTTGTTAATTAAACTGACATAGATATTATCATCTCTAAATTAATTAATTTAGTTTCCATGCGAAAGAAGCTGGATTAGTGCATGTTTAAATCTAGAGTCTCTGTCTCGAAAGTAAATTTTCAATAGTTGTTGTTTTATAATTCCATATCCAAGTTGCCATTACTTCTCATGTGATCTATATTTCATCTGTTATTAGTTAATCCCTTTAATTGCTGCAATTTAATTTGGTACTGCTCTAAAATTAACGTAGATGTAAGTGAGTCACACCAACTAGCTTTGTTTGAGTGGTTGGTTGCAGGTCTCAAAATCTAATTCGCATAGATGCAAAGGACGATGTATATATATATATTTGTGACTAATTCGATATTTAGTTGTAGGCTTGTGACCCACATAGTGCATAAATATCTTATTTTTGGTCAAAAGAGGGTAATGACCATTGTTTATCTGTTGAAAAAAAAAGGTATAAGTGACTGCAATCAAACGTTGTTCAAGTTTTTCAACTAGATGTTGGACAATTTCTAAGACATCAGTATCAGTATAAACTGAGGTAGTATTCTTCTATATACTCATAAGAAAAGAAAATATCATATTCACGAATTATTACGATTTTTCTCACTATATTGTTCGAAATGGTGCTTCTATGATAGCTTGTGCTACAACGCTCATATAAGTTTGAGTCCATTAGTTCTGTTCATGTCCTTCGAAAAACTAATTTTTTTCCGTTGTTTATTTACCAAATTTCGGCTTAAATATTCAATGAAATTGTATCTGGCTTAATCTTTCCCTTAGTTGTATAAGGAATGGCTTAAATCGATAAAGCTTGTATAACCGACCCTTTTGTCTTGTGGGGTACGTAGAAATAAAAGAAAATGTTACATATCACCAATGGAGGTCGAATCGAGAAGGCTATATATGCATGTAATTTATGAGTTCAGAATATAATTGAAAAGTGTGTAAATGGAAATTATCAGATTACGTGTAATCTGCTATACATAGCTGCATGCTGTATGTAATTAACGACATGTTATACTACTGAGTGGCTGCTGCTGATTTGCTGAGTATACGGAGCAGACCAAGGCCAGACCATGCAAGAAGAAGAGGCAGCAGCTGCCAGGCGACCTCACTGGTAGTCTGTAGGGATCTGATGCCTGCATGCTGCAGATGGGGATGGAAGCTTTTTCCAGCTGCTTTTTCATTGGGTGCACTCTGATCATGATCAACCTAAACCCTAGCCAGTAGCCTACATATGTATACATATACATACATACATATATATATATATATTTATTGTGGGCTAGTGCAGCTTTTCCCTTCCACTTCCTCTTTTTCTGCTCTCATATTTTTGGTTCTTCCATTAATTAATTAATCCTTTTCTTTTATTTACGTTTTACTTTGTTGCCAAGTAATTGGTGGCAAGAAAATTATAGTGTCATTATATTTATGCAAGGAATATTGCACGAACTCACTACTCATAACTAATGTAACAAAATAAAATGCATAAGCTTTCAAGCCTGGCTACAATACTTTGTGACTTTAAGTGCACCGAGATATTAATGAGTTAGATTTATGTGATACTTCTTTGATTCACTTCACATTCACAATTTAGTATCATGATTGGAACTGTCATTATCCGAGTTTCCTAAACAAATCGGCTTTGCAGTGACAAAAGGTTCCATAATTATCAAGCACTCAAAGCAGTCAAGCATAAAGGTTTGGGAAATTTTATTAGGTGTAAAAGTTTGCATCCTATTTTAATAGTTGCGGCCTCTCTCTCTCTCTCTCTCTCTCTCAAACTATACTACATAACGTCTTGGTTAGATAATTCGATTCAATGACTCTTATTATAGTTTGGAGATCTGTCTTAAGTCGCACAATAAATCAATCATAATAATTACATATTGATAAGTGCAAATTTGTGTTAATGCACACAATAAGTCATCCATAATAATTAGATACCAAACTTGTCATCCAGGTAGTTGAGATTCCAGTTATTTATGAAGAAAAATATCACTAAATCCTGGTATTGATGAAATATTTTGTTGTAGTGGAGTTTAAACAAAATAAATTGTATATGTAAAAAGTTAAAAAAACCATGTTCAACATAAACCTTGCAGAGTTTTGTCAACATGAGTGGCGGCCCAAGTGGGGGGATCTTAAGTCTTATTTTAATTCCAACTTGATACACACTTGGAAGATGGGATTGAGCTTTAGACCATTTACACTAATTAACTAAATAATCAGCACCATTGTTGTTAATTAGTTCAGAAATGCTTATGGGAAGGCCAAAAACGCTTCATCAAACGAGCCTCTACGTAGCAAGCGGCCCTCTCCACCACTTTTACTACGACATGAGTTCGAATCCGTCGGCTCCCTAATCTAACATTTAATCTAACAAAAAAAAAAAAAAAAAAGAGCCTCTAGGTATAACTTCTATGTGGTTTTCTAGAGAGCGCTAGAAATGCTCACCCGCAGATCTAGGTTGTGCACATAATTTGCACGACTCATATTGATAATGTATCTCTACCATGTTGACATTACAATGACATACACTATCTATATACTAGTAATATTGTCGAGACATGTTATCAATACATTTTTACCCGGGTCATTCACAAACCATGCTCATTACCTAGGTGCGCCCGGGTGAGCATAGCACGTCTCTTTCTAACACAACGCTTATGAGTATGAGTGTTTCCTAAAAACACAAAAAAACCCATATGGGCTTACAAATTGGTGTTCAATGGTAAACTGATTTGACCACAAACAAAGCATTGGGCTAGGCCACAATTTACCAAGGGCCCAAATATAAACCCATTGAATAAACCTCATAAAAAAATAAAAAATTTAAAAGGAGAGAGAAAATGAGGAACATCCGGATGTCATTCTGTGTTGGATTTCGGCATATACGCAAGCATCATCATTAATGCTATAAGCATTTAAGACTTTTTATCCCTCTCACTTTCCCATCAATTTTCCGACTATCCAAACAGAAAACAACACAACCGAAACTTCTCCAAAACCCAGATGAATCACCCTCAGCAGCCTCCTCAGCCCCAAGACCCGTCCGATCCCCAACTCCCCCACATCAGAATCCACCACCCAAACTCTCCCCGCCACCACTCCTCCTCCGCCGGCTCCGCCGCCACTCCCACCCCTACCGCCGGTGCCCGCCGCAAGCTGGGCGTTGCCGTCGACCTCTCCGAAGAGAGCGCCCACGCCGTCCGCTGGGCCGTCGATCACTACATCCGCCCCGGCGACGCCGTCATCCTCCTCCACGTCAGTCCCACCTCCGTCCTTTTCGGCGCCGACTGGGGCTCAGTCGACCTCTCCATCAACACCAACGACGACATCGATTTCGTCGACAATCACGCCCTTCACGATTCTGTCAAGCAGAAGAAACTCGAGAACGACTTCGACGCCTTCACCGCCTCCAAGGTCGCCGATCTCGCCAAGCCCTTGAAGGAGGCGCAGATTCCGTACAAGATCCACATCGTCAAGGACCATGACATGAAGGAGCGGCTCTGCTTGGAGGTTGAGAGGCTTGGGCTCAGTGCCGTGATCATGGGGAGCCGAGGGGTCGGCGCCACCAAGCGTGGGACTGATGGTAGGCTTGGGAGCGTCAGCGACTATTGTGTTCATCACTGCGTTTGTCCCGTTGTTGTTGTCCGGTTTCCGGAGGATGACAATAGCGGCGGTGCTGGTGGTCCTCCTGTTGCCGCCGCGGTTGTTGCGGTTAAAGAGAATGAGGAGGAAGAGGCCGTGATCAAGCCGGTGCCGGTGGTAAAGGAGGTGCATAAGAAAGGTTAGGGCTTTTTCTCTGATTTAATTGTGGGAACTTCAAGTTTCGGTTTTTAATGATTCTTTTCAATATAGTTTGTTTAATTGATGATTATATCATATTTGGGTATGATTTGTTGCACATTACACATATCTGAAATGAGAGCTCCAAATGGCAACTTTGTTAATTAGCAGTTACTGATGTATCCGTCTAACTTTTCGCAAAACGGAATTTGAATTTGCTTCCGATGTATTTTTGAACTACGAATGTTATGTTATGATTTTCCAAGCCATGGTTGATTAAACAAAGTTTGATCTTTTGCAATGTTCGCAACTCATGCTTGTTTTCTGAAAGCATCATGAGGTTCTTTGAATGTGAAAAAACTGTTGAACGAAAACAGGATGTGTTATATTAGATTAGCATGGAGCCTTCCAATTTATGTTTCTTAGTGTGAGAGTTGATTGGTCTTTCCAATCTTCTTTAACAATCCTTTGTGAAATTCTGTATGTGCATAGAGGTTCTAGGCAGCATATACCGTCCCCGTGCACTTGTGGTTTTGCCTGTTGAGGTTTCTCAATTAAATATCCTACCTATAAGAATATCTTTTTTTCTTTCTTCTGGAAGAATCACTTGTGGTGTTAGTTCTCCCTTTGGTAGTATGCGCCAGATGCTTCATATAAACAAAAGCAAGTCTACCTCTTTCTCTAATGTCGGAATAAGTTCTCCAGGCCAAAAGTGATATAAATTTTACAAACTTCTCGTATCGATGACATGTTAGGGAAAATTCATTGGTCATAATTCTTATTTCTAGTTGGTTGTTTCCTAGACACTTTGCTGCATAGGCCCATGCTGTAGAAAAAAAGTAAATTTGTTTGAAATTTTAATGAGGAGCAAGGTTTAAAAATCGATGGCAAGTTTAGCAGTAAGTTCAGTAGGCTAAGAAGATGCCAGTACTTGTTCTGACTTATCTGCTGCTTATAGTTTGGTACCTCTCTTGTATTCTCTTTCTGCTGGATCGTGCCTTCTTGCTAGTTACTATTTTGAGATAAACAAGTTTGATCAAGACTTAATCAGGATTCGTGAATAATGGTAAAAAACAAAACATTAATCTGGTTTGTAAATTTACTGTTCTCTACACGACTAGTTATCAGTTGTCAGGTCCCAACCGCACCTTTTCGTGTTTGTAGAAAATGATTAATTAATTATCTAAATTTCTCATCTTTGGTTGTTTTAGAGGATAGCTACTATCAATTGGCTTCTACATGTCTGCTTGCTTATTCTAAAGTTTGTTTCATCAGTAAGTTTAACTGATTTGACTGTATCACTCATCTCCTCTCTCACCCCCTGTATCAGTCATATCAAGTCATCAACTAATATATTGTAAAAGGAAATCCCCAAACTGAACATTTTGGTCAAAATGCTTATGTTTGGCCCGATAAACACTTTGGATGTCTTTTTATTATCTACTGCATGAATCTCAGGTGAATCTGTTTACCGTGGGATGTGTGTATAACCTGTACCCATATTGGACAACCATGAATGATTTATGGAAGTGTTTACTCTATACTAGTTGATTAAGCAATGCATTACAACAGTGACACGTGCGGTACATTAAATAGTTTACTTAATCTTGTTACACATATTTACATGTATGCTTTCATCCATTTTAAATTGCAGAATTTATTTTTTGAATTTTGACATGGTTTCAGTTACTGAGGAGCAGTTTGTTCTCTTGTTGTAAGTTTCGGTTGTTATCTTGTTGTAAGTTTCGGTTGTCACTCTATTAGGTTTATGAGCCCCAGGATATGTTTCTTGTGTACTAGGTGGTGCACTATTGACATGTTAGTGTACAGTTTACATAATAATAAATGTAAACATGTACACATATTTATATGTATTTAGCCTCAAGGTAGATTGTTATAGGAGAATGTCGTAAGGTTGTGTGAAAGAAGGCCTTGCAAGTAGTTTCTGGAAGGGCTGAAATGCCATTTTAGATTTAAGATTTTTCATTGTATGCATGTAGAAGTAAGTTTCTGTGTGTTTACATTTACTTTCTTGGATTCCAAAAGAGTGGAGATAAGCAGGCTAGAAATCTTGTTACGAAGTGTTTTTTTTTGGATGCTCTGTCCTTTATTTTTATGGACTAAACTTTATACAGATCTTTAGATGTTCATGACATTATTATTGGTTGTTTGTCTTGTGGCAGAAGCATAGCCCGTATTCTGAGTCGTAGTTGAATCCTCTCAAGTACAGGTTTGCACTTAATGCCGAATATCTCAATTTTGGATAATTTTGAATTTGCTTCAGTAAGAGCTTCTACTTACATGGACATCAGAAACAAAAAGCGGGTTTCTTATAACGTATATTTCCTGCCGCTTTTATCTTTACACAGTTTGCATGCGAAATAGTCTGGCATCGTTTTTGAGTTAGTTGTGTGGAATGTGACCAAGTCGTGGTTCTATAATGTGCAGTTTGTGTAGATGTCTGAGTCGACTGGGAGTGGCTGACACATTGAGTCCAGCCTGCCGGAGTCAAGTCTGCTTTCTCTCCTCTGCAATAGCTCTTTCTCATGTATGAACTTTGGGAGGATTGTAGATGCTATTTGTATGGTGAATGAGGTTTAGGGTTTCTCGACGTCTTTCCTACTTTGTTCAGCTGCTTTGTGACGCGATACTCCTTTTAGTTTCGAGGGATGTGCTTCTTGTTGCTCGTATGATACAAATTTAATTATTAGATTTGTCTAATAATTATCCTAGACGCCGTTTATAAATTTGGATGTTTATATTTTGATTGCTTGCTATGGTAAGGTACTTTCTACCACAACCTGTGATTGCATTACATTTCGAAGTCAATTCATTTTTCACCACAACCTGTGATTGCATTACATTTTGAAGTCGCTCATTTTTCCTGTGTCGGATTTGTCCTGAAGAGTGATGTTAAGGATAGTTGTTCACGTGGCGTTGATTCGCTGTGGTAGAGTCTGAATGTTCTGGACTAACATAATGTTGCTCTTTTCCTTCAACCCGGATGGATATACATGCCGGACGCGTGTGTTTACCCACAATTGAATGTCTTGGCATGCAAGCATCATGCAACAATTCAACATAGTAACGCGCTCATTCTTTTTTCAAACCGACTTTGTGATGACAATATCAGCAGGATAGCATCGATCGTAGGAAATTGTTGGTTAGCCAAGTGTTTCAATAATAAATACTTTATAAACAGAATGATCTGTTTGCATTTGGATAAAGACGTACACGACACGGCAATAAGTATACTGTAATGTCGAGACCTGTGCAAATTTTTGTTCACATGACGTAAGCTTGAAACGAGATCATGATAGCTGTATACCTATCTCTAGACATGGGGAAGTTTTTGTTCATGGTATTGTAACATTAATCCGAGATATCATGATAGCTGTATACTTATATCATGCAAGTTGTTTTCTTGTATTGAGGGATTGTCGCATGAGTCTTGACGCTGTCCATGTCAATCGTGTATTGCATAATACGAAACCGAGACCCAAAGTTTTGGAAATGGGTAGGGGTGTCAGTTACAAATATTACATCAACTGTAGACATATTGACTAAGTTTGACTGACAAGGAAGGCATATGAAGCGTCATGTGCTGGCAGAATGAGACGGCCTCAATAACTACGAAGAAAACCCCTACCGCACGGCAATATATTATTAAGTTGAGGAATTCTACGAGATTTTGTTAAAAGTGGGACTATATTGATTTTTCGCTATCTTATTATTTTGAACAATGTTTTATAAGTTGACATGAAAATTGCATAAAAAAAAATGAGAGAGCGTTCAACTTTTGAAAGAATCTTTTTAGTATTTTTTAACTAAGTTTGCATGTATTGATTGATGCGATAAAATGTTTCTACATCACTCATTACGTGATTAGCTATGTGTTTAGAATTATAAGCGGTTGTCTTATCTTTTCGTTGTAAAAACTAATATAAAATACGACGTGTATTATAACTGGATTGTAAAGTAAAAGAGTAATTAATATTTAAACTTAAGGTAATGCTAGGGAGATTTAATTTACAAACTAAATGATATGTCACCAATAAAAATAAGTACGTTTATCAACGTGTAAGTAATAAACCAATCATCAACTTCCATGTTCCTTAGTTTTCAAAATTTTATCTACAAATTTAATCTCCCTAATATTACTCTTAAACTTATTCTGAACCGTATATGTTAAGATTAATCTCATCCAGTTTCTTGAGAATTTTTGGCTTGCTATAACCACAAAAAATTCCTTGGAAATAATTGTAGACGAAGGTCCAACATGCTGGATGTAAATGTTAGCTTAGCTTATCTTATCTTCTTCTTCTGTCCCCATGTTGTCTTTTGCTTTGCCTCGCCTTATCAGATGATGCGTAATATATAACAAGATAGGCAGTGTGACAAATTGACAATTAAAAAATGAAAAATTGTTGCAGTCCTATTGAAATAGGAATGTGATTGTGTAAATCGTTGTAGATATGAGAATATATCTTATATTCTTATTAGTAGTTGATTAGCTATGCCGCACCCTCTCTCTATATGGTCTCTATAATTATTCAGTAAATTATGTGTACAACAAAAATAATAATAATAAATAATATTTTCCACGAAATGATGCAAATGAGGAAGCAAACCAATCAAGTCAAAGTAACATTTCTATTTCTTCACCAAACTAAAAGGACAATACTTTCATACCACCACTCACTTGTTCTCTCAACTTGTCAATCCGCGCCTAATTCTTTTCGTTCTAACTTCAACCTAAGAGAGATTTTTAAGCGTTCAAAATACAAGTATATACGCTATGTGTTATTAATTAAGTAGAAAGATAATTTTAAAAAAAAAATTTCTTCCCTTGTATAATATTTATGACGTACCATTTCATGTTCTTAGCATATACTAAAAAATCTCTCCAACCTTAGCCCCGACGGACCCCTCTCCCCATTTTATCTTCAGATTTTATGTTTTTCTTTTTGGTCACAAAACTTACCCTGTCACAATCCGGGCACAAAACTACTAATTACAATCTAACGATATTTTTCTTCACTTATTGATGAGAGTTGAGCACAATACTACTCACTGCAATCTAGCAATATTTTTCTTCATTTATGATTTTGTTGTACTTTTATGCAGAAACGGAAGCGAATTATAACAAAGTACCAAATATCAACGTTGTAGACAAAAGCTAAAACAAATAATCTCAAACTAACACGAGATTTACGTGGTTCGGCGTAAAGCCTATGTCCAAGAGTGAAGCATTGCGAGGAATTTCACTAAACAAACGGAGATTACAAAAGAGTGTTTAAACTCTCACAACCCAAATCCTACAAATTACAAACCCTAAAGCAAATGAATAGAGAACTCAAACAAACGGAGAAGATTCTCCCAAATTGCTCTCTAACTCACAAATTGACTCTCACCAAATTGCTACACGAATGAGCCACACGAAATACACTAACCCTAAGGTCCTATTTATAGTGCATATGACTAAGGTTACATTAAGAATCATAATAGGGAGTAAATCCAAATGCAAATTAAATAGGTAATTAACGAAATCTCTCCACCAAGGAAACCAACTCAAAAGTCAAAATCCAAACCCAAATAGGACACCAAAACCAAATAGGTAACACAAACCTAATTTTTTGCATCATCCTAATTTTGAGACGTAAAACCCAACAATCTCCACCTCGGCGAGAAATTAGCAAACTTCCAAATCAAATACAAACTTCAATTTTGGGATACCAAAATACAAACGCAAACGTGCACCAAATTCTTTCAAAACCGTTCTCCACCTAGACTCAAAAAAAAAAAAAAAAAAAAAAAACAAATCCATTAGTCTTCACACTTGAAATTTCCTCTAACGCCTTCTCCAACAAATTCCATTACGGAAACTAATAAATATGAAACAAAATCCAAGCAAAAGCTTGAACATACAAACAAAACGTGCGAATTGCACTCCACCCAAAGAGCTTGAGTACCAAGCTCCACCTCCTCACATAACCTTTAGAGGAGTTCAGAACAATGATTTTTTCCAATGTTTGCCTCAACACTAGCAAAAGACTTATCAAAGGCCTTCTTTTTGCCCTTGAGTTTAGGGCAATCTACTTCCCAATGACCCTCCTTATAACCATAGCTACACGTGTTCTTTTCAAGTTGGCCCCTTTCCTTATTCCTTCCGTGAACTACGAAAGCTCCATCTTGTGTGTCAGACACTTTATTATTTAGCTCTTTAGAATTCAAAGCGGCTTTAACATCTTCCAAACTAAGACTTCCTCTACCATAATTTGGTCGTCCACACTTTTCAAACCAATAAGAAGTTTATTGAATTCATCAACATGCCTATGAATTGACGTACCTTCATCCATATGAAGAGTATGCAAACTTTTCTTCAAATACAACCGTTTAGCAAGAGATTTAGTCATATACACACTCTCCAATTTGAGCCACAATTCCGATGCAAATTTGACGTTACCAACTTCATGCAAGACTTCATTAGATAAAGTCAGCATAATTGCTCCAAGTGCCCGCTCCATAACGTCTTCATTTTCCTCATCAGTCCATGAATTCGGCAAAGCCTTCACACCCTTTAGCATTTTCAAAAGCCCTTGTTGAACTAACAAAGCACACATCTTCAATTACCAAATACCGAAGTCATTGCCGTCGAACTTTTCAATATCAACTTTCACCGATGACATAGAAGGCTTCATGGTCACTGCCAAGCAAAGCCCAAGTCGAAACCCGGCTCTGATACCACTTGTTGTACTTTTATGCACAAACGGAAGCGAATTATAACGAAGTACCAAATATCAAAGTCGTAGGCAAAAGCTAAAACAAAAAATCTCAAACTAACACGAGATTTACGTGGTTCGGCGTAAAGCCTACGTCCACGAGCGAAGCACTGCGAGGAATTTCACTAAACAAACGGAGATTAAAAAAGATGTTTAAACTCTCACAACCTAAATCCCACAAATTACAAACTCTAAAGCAAATGAGTAGAGAACTCAAACAAACGGAGAAGATTCTCCCAAATTGCTCTCTAACTAACAAATTGACTCTCACCAAATTGCCACACGAATGAGCCACACGAAATACACTAACCCTAAGGTCCTATTTATAGTGCATAGGATCCTAATAGGGAGTAAATCTAAATCCTAATTAAATAGGTAATTAACAAAATCTCTCCATCAAAGAAACCAACTCAGAAGTCAAAATCCAAATCTAAATAGAACACCAAAATCATAGGTAACATATAACCTAAGTTTTTACATCATCATAATTTTGAACAGTAAAACCTAACATATTTATCAGTGAGATTTCTTAAATTCAAAATTGCAAGAAACACACGGTTAACTTTTCCATTTGGTAAAGAAAAACTTTAATAATGTTTGGGCGAGGGACTAATCAAATAATAAAATATGAATTAGAGAGGATTAGCGTGCCCCCTGTGAACATTGCAAAAGTTGGCGAGAGAGAAAAATCCGTAAACTGCTACTCAGAATGTGTCATCTGTAAATCTCGTTCAAATACTTTTAAAATGCCCATGAAAGACATTACTAATCCATTTAATTTACATTTTAAGCTCCATCACTTACTAATTGAACTCAATTTCTTTGAATTTGGAAGTCTCCATCCAAACATATAATCTGAGAAAATTGACAGTACTAGACATCTAACGGCTCTCATCATGATCATCATCTTCGTAGATAGCCTCCGTTTCCATTAGCAAGCCTTTGGATTTTGAGCTCCCCATCGCCGTTGATCTCTTACTCTGTAAACGGTTCTCCCCGCCCAGTCTCCGTCGCTTCAACATTCTTAACGAACCGAACGCCTTCATCTCATCACATCCCAAGCCAGAACCCTCATCCGCTTTCTCTCGCATTCGCTTCGACACTGAAAATTCCTCCTCCTCCTCTTCTTCACTGCTCGAACAACTTGCCGTCCGCGGAGGATCCGCCTCAGAATACGAACAACACGACAATGGAACCACCTGGTTCTCATCCTCATCACTCTCGTCACAATCATCACCGTCATCCTCCTCCTCCTCACCATCAACGCCCTCACTCTCTGCTTCGCTTTCTTGAACCTCCGCGCGTCCCTCGAAATTGCTACCGGGGCGTTCAACGCAAATCTGGCAGACCGAGACGGTGGGCGTGACCTTGGGACCCGACCCTGTCCACGGCGTCGGCGACTGGCATCCGCGGCAAAGGAGGCTCCTCGGGTGCTTCGCCACTAGAAAGTTAGCTCTGTGAACCTTCCCGTCGCAGTCCCAGCACAACCTCGCCTGGTCCGGCTCGCAGTGAACCCGCGCCCGGACTCCGCAAAGCTGGCAGTCTCTCATTTTCCTCCTGCACCCTCTGTCTCAGCACACCAGTATATGTGCGCATCGCGCACTCGCAGCCTTTAATATCAAAAACGAAAGTAGTCCGGGGGCATTTTCGTCAATACATGATTTAATATCTTCAACACTTCCTTCGAAGTTGTTAAGGTGTTCTCTCCTGCGCTGAGGTCCACCTTAACGCACATGATCACGTGACATTTCCATTCTCTCCGCGTGGCGGGGAATCGGTGGATATTGAGTTGGAATTGTATGGGCGCGTTCCTACACCTTCTGTTCCTCTACATGCTCGACCTACCACGACAAATCCCTCATGAAAAGGGATCCTCCACCAAGTCCACAAAATTCATTAATCCAAATCCTTGGAATTTGATCCACCCCTAAAAATATGAGTTTTATTTAAAAGTTATAATGATTTTAGATGTTAGATTAAATTTCAAAGGTCCGGATTAATGAACTTAATAGAAGGGATCGATCCATTTCCATCCCTCATTGATCCAGAGCACGCCACATGTCGTCAGGTTTATGGAGCAAACTTTACGTGTCTCGATGCAATTGTCGCGACTAGATTTTATTTTTCATTGCATTATGTGCTGACGTGACAATTAAGTGTCTGTTTATCGTATATTATACGGTTAATTTTTATTAAATACTATTTATATTTAATTAAAATAATTTTTAACTATAAAATGTACGATAAACAAACACGATTGATTGATTATTCGAATTCTCACCGTGAGAATCCGGAAAGGATCCTATTTCCCTCCCTTTTCCAAAGTTTTGCCAACGTGGACAGTCGCAGGCGACAAAGGGGTGTGAGGCCACGTGACGCCAACCTGGGGCTTTGGCCTTGGTTGGCGCACCGTTACGCAAGTCTATCTGGTGCTAATAATAATAATAATAATTTGTGTTGGCAGATAGGATGACATTATCGGTTTGTTTTGTCTGAAATATGGTTCAAGAATATTGGGACAAATATTTGGCCCATCAGTTCTGACCAAGGGAATGGTTTGATTGAGGGCCTTTGGCCATGTGATTAATTTTTATTTCATTTAATTTATAAAATTTGATTTAAAAATTTAATTACGTTAGCATTACTTTAAGAATTACATATAATATAACAAGATAATGACATCAACAAATCCTATTAAACAATACCCATACTAATTTAGAGATCATTTGAATGATGGTTATGAATTAAAAGTGCCTTCTAATTTTGCTTTAAATATTAATCATTTGGCAAGAAGCACCTGGAGTTAGGCTGGGCAAACAGGTACAGGACCCGTGGGTCAGGGTGGGTGGTGTAGGTTCGGGATAGGTACGGCCGGTTCCTATTTTTTTTTGGAATAAATGGGTTGGGCCGGGCCGGGCCATTATTATTTACGGGGCGGGCCGGTTCCCACCCTAGAAAAACGAGGCTCCAGACCGACCCATTTCTAATTATAATCAACAGTTGATAGAAGCATATTTATACGATTTTGTTAGTTTAATTCCTTGCATTTACTTAGTTAGTTCTTAGTTATTTTAGTATGTTAAGCTATTTTCGTGTGTTTGTAGGTCCAATTGACTAAAGTAGCAAGAAAGTGCAATTTGGAGCATTTTGGAGCAGTGTTGGGCTTGGAATGGTTAGCAAATGAATGAAGCAAGGTGAATGGACGAAATTGAAGACCAAAGGAGGCTAGGAATTTGCTAAAGAGATGGAAGAAATTAATTCAAGACTTTGAAGAAAAGGAATCAGCTACAAAGAAGGAAACATAAGTCAAACTTCCTTATTTTGACTTAGTCAATCCTAATATTTTCCTACTTAATTTCCAGCTGTTAAGGGGGGTTCCTAATCACTTTAGGACACTTAAATATGAGTTCTAGAAGCCCTAATCCCAGTCAAAGAGGGATACCGCACCCTACCCCTTCCTTTCTCTTCCTTGCCGTGCAAGGAACCACATTTCCCTTTCCTATTTCCTATTTTATGTCCATGCCACAACTTCCCTTCCTTTTCTCTCTTAGGAATCTGATTTGTTACCCTTTTATTGGAGGATTTGGAGTCTTAAAACCTTCCCAAATTAATTAATTAATGCCTTGCCCTTTCTCCCATTATTTTAGACAATCTGCCGCATAAAATAAGGCCATTCATCATTCATTTATTCAGCCATTATCCATCCTCTACCACCAGAATTCACACCATCCATCCACCACAACCCAAATTCATACCCAAACACCCTTGTGCCGCAATTTTGCAAGGAAAAATGAGACTATTGGTAGCACAACTCTTTCACTTAAGGATTTTGATGATTTGAATTTAATTAAAAACTTTTCACATGTATTTACAATTTGAGTGTAATTAGGTTCTTTTCACATGCAAGCGCTTGATAGTGTAGAGAAAAATTCAACTTACTTTATAATGCTATGGGAATTTTACAACTAATTAATAATTAATTAGATCATACCAAGTGGATAGATGATGATTTTTTTCTCCATTTAAGCACTTGAAGTAATTTTTTTTTGGTTTTAAAAGTAACATTCATTATGGAGAAAAAAGAGTTGCACAGGTCCAACACAAAAGAAGGCAACCCAAAACACAATGGGGAGTCCCAAGTACAACCTAGCCCAACAAGCAGAAAGACAAAAAAAAAAAAAAAAAAAAAAAAAAAATTATTTTCCAATGGCAGAAAACAAAATGTTGCAGCCATCACAAATGACTTGTCAGCAGCTACCAAGGCAAGTACACTGGAGAAAACAATAGAGTGGTCAATTCAACTAAGGCATCACATCACATCGGAGAAAACCTGCAACTAGAAGTGAACCACAACCAGATTTCTTCACTAGATACGCCTAATCAGGAGAAAGCCATCGACCCGAACCACCTTCACCAACCCCTGCAAGTATATACAAACACAATAACATGTGAAAATGAGTGAGGCTAAGGGGGTATGTGAAATAGCCTTGATTTGACAGAAATCGCAACACACTCGGCCTTGAGGAAATCTGGCATGCCAGTCGAGGGTAGCGAAGGAAGAAATTGGATCTGTCATCCATCTTCGATTCATCACTTGTAGACCTCAACAAAGGTTGTGGTGGTGATGATTTGATTAGAATATTCCGTGCGCATTAACTAAATAGTTAATTACAAAGAAAAAAAATACGCACCATTTATAAAAAAAAACTTTTCTAGTGTTAAAAAGGCAACTAATGTCCTATAATACTCCCGCCTTCTCGTGCTCCGCCCACAAACGTCTCCTTCGGTTGCCGTTTTGAGAGTCGGTAGCATGCTTCCTCAACGTTCATCGCTTGTTTTTGTTGTTTTCATTTCTTTAATTTTCCACCCATCCTTTCTTCTTGCAGTTTCTTTTCAAACCCAAACAACCATCATCATCCCGGTAAAAGTTTCCACACTTCACCTTTTCGCTCATAAGACAACTCCAATCAGCCACCAAACGCATGTAAAAACGAAACTAAAGCACATCGTTGTGAAAGTTCATGGTTTCCACATCCTTAACGTAGAGATAGGGATCCATATAAAAAAATAATGGCATATATATTGATGTAATTATGCATGAAACCTAATTAAAGTTAATTAACTTGCTAACACTTCATTACAACTTGATATGACAATAATGTATAAATTCTCATTATTCACCTTACAATGTGCCTCTACGTTAATATACATCAACATGTTACTTGTAAAAGATGAATGAGGTAATAGACCTATATATACAGATAGGGTAAGGTGCGGTTTGACCACCTAATTTATCACTCCAGTTGAAATTGACCCATGAACTATTTTTTTAGTAAATTAAACCCCATAACTATTTAAAATCAGTCAATTAACCCCTTGTCGTTAGATTGCTAAATCAATTCCATCAAATTCAAGAGCAAATTAGTCATTTCATCATTAATTGTTACTTGTCAGCTATAACCACCAATAAAATTTTGACACATGGACACAAAATAATTCAAAAATATATAGCATACTAAGAAAACATAAAAAAACCAAACATTTACATAATGGACCATCTCACATTGTCATTACACATTATTTTGTTTTCATGTCATAATTACATTGTTGGTTATAGTTGATAAGTAAGAATTGATGAAGGAAAGACAAATTTTCTATTGAATTTGACGAAACATTGGATGAAATCTACCGACAAGAGGTCGATTGGCTTATTTCAAATAAATCACGGGGTTAATTTACCAAAAAAATAGTCAGGTGTTAATTTCAACTTGAGTAATAGTTTAAAAGATCAAATGACAGTTTGGTGTCAATTTCAACTTGAGTAATAGTTCAAAAGATGAAATGACAATTTACCAATACAGATGTATAAATATCTGTTTGTGTGATGACCAAACAACACGATGAGCGCTTGTTATAAGCAACATCCATGCAACTTCCAAGAAGGAGACGAAACTCTCCACAAAATGATGAGCGCTGCGCCTGCCCCTTTGGCATTTTTTGATTTCTGTGGCTGTAGCTAGCTAGCCATCAATTCAATTGGTTGGCTGCTTCTTCCCTTTCCTGGAAATCCTCCCTCCCTTTCCTCATTTCGCTTTTTGTCTAATTCCTAGCCACTTTCAAACTACGTACGAATATGCATGATCATCAACTGCATCATTTTTTTTTATCACGTGAGCATGCAATATCAACCTTTTGTTTTCATCTAGTACTAGGCTACTAGCTACTTCGTACAATAATGTACATGTATTTATCAATGGGTATCTATGATCTGTTCCTGTTGACTAGCTACTTCGTACAATAATGTACATGTATTTATCAATGGGTATCTATGATCTGTTCCTGTTGCGATGGAAATTCATATATTGGTGATGAAATTTAGACTTACATAATATCCAATCCAATTTCACGCATGATATAAGTACGGCACGCATGTTCTGTTTGCGTAAATATATGTCCAGTTGTGTTAGGGTTTGGAATGTTAGCATAGAATTAACAAACACCAAGACCAAAACATGAACTACAACCATGCAAGAAACCAGGAAGGATAACA